ATGTCGAGTGTATATATATATATATATATCTTGTTCAGATAAATTGCATGATGAAGTTATATTTGCTCCCCTCTTTCTCTGATACATGCGCACAATACATGATCTCTTAAAAGCTCTCTAAAAATATATTGATTAACATTTATCAAAAATAATATAATAATAAATAATAATAATAAATAATTAAAATAATAATTTTAAATTATTTAAATAGATGTTTTCTTTTCGTTCGTTATTGTCCTAAGTATATAATAATGTCGAAGTATACAATAATGTCAAAGAAGTAAGTATCACTTAAAACAATATTTCCATGAATTTAGATTTACATTGCTCGCAATTAAATTAATTATAAAAATATAAAAGTTCAAGTTATAAAAATTAAACACATTGTTAAAATTGATGCAAATGCACAATTTTATGTACATTAAATTATGTATCTTTAAATGAAAATAATTATATAATTTTATTACTTGCTATTTTATCTACTTAGTTCATATTTTACTTATTAAAAAATAACATGTTGGACTAACAACATTCACACATTCTATGCAAATTGTTTTGATATATGTCAATTATGGCAAACAAAAATTTTTTAAAGGGAATCTTTTTTTATCTTCCGTCCATATGCGTATATAGTAAACTATTGTTAAAATTTAATTGCCTCGGAAGGTAATTCCTTTCCTCGGAAAGTAATATCGGAGGGACGTTTTTCGTTTACGAGTAGTCATTACTCTATTATCTTAGCTTATTAAAAAAATATTAAATAATTTCAACAATATACATAAATATACTTTATGTAAGTATTTGTAAATATATATTATATTTTAAATAGATATTTTTAAATATGTCTTTATGTAATATAACATCAATATAATTAACAGAAAATATTCGACGAATAAGAAAGGATACATGAGAAAAGATGTTAAACATCACAACGGTGAAGATGAATAGAGAGGGACTTTTTTAGAAAACTGATTTGTACTACACTCGTTAGAATTTTGTATAAAATTTCTTATCTAGCAGGTCGCCCTCAACTTACACGCTGCATTGGCGGCCAGCCAGTTAAAAGACAATTGGATTACGGATAACGGTCTCGCGTTGGTGGTTGCACCTTGATTCGTCGTTTATGCGAAGCGCGCGGTGAACGCGATGTCACCCGAAATTCCAACGGCAAATCGTAACAGCGACAGACGCAGCAGCTGGGAAATTTAAACCAGTCGCTGAAGATGCCACGGCACTCGTTGTTGGGATCGTAAGCCAGCAATCGATGCAGTCGATACTGCTGCTCGCATCTGCAGCCATCCCGACAATACATCTGTTTGTTCTCATGCCTGCGAATAGAAGTAAAAGTCGAAGATGGAGATAAAATTGATGAAAAGAATCTGGTACTTGACATGCAAATGTTTCAACATTTAGGTCAGATTTTTTACTTTGAGGTCGAAAGATAATAAGTTTAATTTTCCTTTTTGATTTTTAATGAGCTCACGCTGGTGTTTTTTGTCCAGGACTAACAACTTACGTGCACTTCTCCCAATGGACGTACTGCTCGAAGGGGTACAGATTGAGAAGAGCCAAGACCTCACCACGAGTATTGTTGGCCCAGAACGGCGCTACCACTTCTTCCTTGACGGGACAGGCATTCCTATACAGAGTGATTTAATGAATCCGATATCTTCTCTAATTTCTCATATTTATATATCGTATTTATATATCGTACACTGTGCATATTTTATCTCTTTTCCCTTCTTCCTCTCTCCCTAAATAATTTTGATTTTAGTAATTAGTATTAGTATCTAGCATTGTAATATATTATAATTTTAGATATTATATATATATTTTATTTTATATATATCTTTAACTGAAAATTGCTCTAATTTTTTGTTTTCATTCGGTCTGTTACAAAACGAAGATCTGGGGATTGTTGTCACTCACACGCCTCTAAGCTTCAGCACCGGCTGCTCTTGCTGATCCTTCGCCGCAACATCCTGATAAAGCTGTCCTCCGATACTCGTCGACGTCTCGGCCACGCCTGATGGTCGATACTCAGGACGCGGTCTAAATTGTTGTTGTTCATGACTCGCCGCCGCTATTAACTCTTCACGCACAGTCGTCTTTGTATCTGGGGCAAACACCTCCACGCTTTCCTCCATTTGACCGACCAACGATTCCGTGGAAACTCCTATCGTCGTCCCGACCGATTCCAAGGTCGTGTCATCTTCCTCGATCGTCATTTTCTCGGAATACGGTACCACTTCCGCCTCCAGCTCCTCCAGCTCCTTCTCATCAATCCTATCGTTCTGCCCGGGAATCTCGTTGATGCTGAAATTTTGTTCTTTAACGATCTGAGCTACTGTGACGGTCGGCGATGCTGTCGTCGTCGCCGTCGTCGTCGTCGTCGTCGTTGTCGTCGTTGTTGTACCGTTCATCGCGGGATCATTATCGGCAACTTTGTCAGTGGAATTCGGAAACTTTGGAGAAATTGGCGTTACGGAAGTTTGAGTCTTGACTTCCTCCGTGCTCGTAATGGTAGCGGTAGACGCGGACGTCGTTGATGATGTACGCGTAACAAAAGCGGCCGTGGTAGTGCTCGATGTTGAGGACGTAGTTGAAGAGACAGTGGTTGTACTCGAAGTCGGGGCAGTTGAACTGGTGGTTCGCTCGGTGGGTCTGAAATGCGGCCTGGTGTACTCGCTGAGCTTCGAGAACTTGTTCATTCGTCTGGCGATGGGATCGTTAAAGGAGCGACTGGTAAATCCGCGACCGTCGTACTCGCCCATATTAATCTTCGACCGAACGTCGTCGATGAACTCGTAATCGTCGTCATATTGAAATTGCCTGAAAATCACGGAACGTAATTCAATCACATTTCCATATGTGTGTGTGTGTGTGTGTG